TCATCAAGGACACGAGTGCTTGAGAGCTCTAGAATGGGATGGTATCAGAAATTACAGGAGTGGGGACTAAAAGTTTGTTTGTCTTGTCTTGTTTCCACAGTGAGGATCTAAACGTGATCTCTCTCATTCTGTGCTGGAAAATGATCGCTGGAAACCAGGTCAGAATGAGAGAAGCCTGCCCAACCTCCAGCGTGGCACACAGACCCTGCCAGCCCACTATGCTGGGCCTAAAGGGGGCTCAGGCATGAAGGCACATGGACCTCACCAGAGATGTGTGAATAGGCCATACTTGGATGGATACTGAAACCAGGGTGTCCAAAGACAGCTGATGGCACATTACATGAAATATCTGTGTCAGGAGAGTGTTCCATATGCCTCTCTGTGCTGGCAAAGGTGGGATGCTGTCTGGTTTCTTTGTGGCCTCATGTGCATGGCCCCAGTGGACCTGCTACCCACAGAAATTACTTCCATTTGTTTAAATGTCAAAGCTCTTTAGTCATCTTGGGAAAATCCTCTATAATACTGAAGCACAAGTCACAAAATAGCTTTCTTTAACTCACAGATGTTTACTGGGCATTTATGATGTGCCGGGAACTTTTCTAATGTTGAGGCAGGATGTTAAAAGGCCCTGCCACAGTCCTAAACAACTCACAATCTGGCGAGACCAGACATTGGAGGTGGTGGGTGCAGAGCCTGTCAACATGTATGATGAGTGTTCTTGGGATAGAAGAGGTTACCAGTAAGCATGTGATAGGGAAGCTAGGGGCAGTTCTTACTTCTGGGAGTCAGAACACTTTATGAAACTGGATAGATAGAATCTACTATCTAAAATATAAATGAGGGACTTTAATAAAACTGTCACTAGAATAGACCTAGTCTGTTTAGAGGGTTTGTTGTAAATAACCCTGCTACTTATGGATTTGTGAGGCACTGCTATGCTAAATAATGAATGTCAGTCTCCTAGTTTGTGATTCGCAAAGTATAAAAGGTGAAATCCCAAACAAATGGCTTTCCTAGGCTAACTTCACCCACTCACACAAGTAGCATTTATCACTGTGATGCGGAAAATGGCACCCAAAGGATCAAGTTCCACGGCCTCGGGTCCTCTGCTAGATGTGGTATTTCCTGTGACTCCTTTCTCATACCCTTCACGAGTCATTTGTAAAGCTTGATCCTGGGTTAGGTGTTCCTGTGAGTCTGGCTCTTTGTTCAGCCCTTTGTGTTTTGCCCTGTGTGGTCTCAGGAGAAAGTTCTGGTATCAGAAGGGTTCCTGGAAGAAGTAACAAGGATGGTGAGGATGGAAGAGTGAGTAGGAGTGAACCAGATGAAAAAGTGGTGAGAAATTCCAGATGAACAAGAGAATACGTGCCAGGCACTATGATAAGCAATTTATAATTGAAAATTGATATTACTAATTCAGAATCCCTGAATTATACACTTGAGGAAGAGCACAAATACAACAAAGGCCTCTTCTGGCCCTGCCCTGCAACCCTGCCACTGGAATGTGAAACACTGTGCACGCTGAAGCTACTATATAAAACAAGAAATTGTAACAGAATTGGCTCTGGGTGATTGGCCAATGCCCACCCCCATCTCTCCAACAAAAGGTAAACCATAGAATTTCATGTTTATGTTTGATATGATTATAAATGATGCAACTTCAATAATTACCCTGTAATTACCTCTGTACCCTAAGCTGGCACAGCAAGTTTACCTGCAGAGACAGCCCACTCAGATCAATTGTTGGGCTGCCCCAACTCCTGATTCAGGCCTCGCTGAAGGTAGAAGAAAATACTGCTTGCTGTGTCAAGGGAAGATTCATATGCAAACTCGAGACTCGGGTCACAACTCAGGGGAGTTCGCTTCCACAGGAAATTTGGGTCGGCCCAGGTTCATGGGACGCCCAGGACAACTGTGGGTGGCTGGTATGAAGGTGCTGATACAATGTGAGCACTGGGTCTGCCTTGAGAAAGAGTGACGAAAGTCCCAGGTGGAGTGGGAATCAAGATGGTGAACCAAGTTGCAGGTGTCTGTCTCCTTCACACCAATAACTATATGAAATAATGGGGAAAATAAAAGAAACAAAATCAGAATAAATCTGCAACAGCAAAGCAAAAGAAAAGAAAAGGCAATGTCAGTTGGCCTGAAATTTTGAGCAGAGAGATGAACCTGGAAGAAACCCCAGGTCCTAACACGTCACAGGGCAGACTGCTGTGGAGACGGGAACTACATAAAACCTTCACATTTGGGGATAGGGAAGAAAGAAGCGGGTGGGAGGTGGCCTAGCATATGCCCTCCCTGGGCCCATCCTGTCAAGCCCCATCTCTCCTCCATCCTCAAGCCCCTGTTGGTCCTCAACAGCAGGGCAGTGGTGACATTTACCCACAGGCTGAGCTGGTGAGTACAGGCACTCAGACTAGAGATGCAGAGCTTGCTGAAGGTCACACGGAGGGACCAGGCACCTCCACTAAGGAATCTTAATTCACTTCTCCATCATATTCACTGATTAACTTTTTATTGATCAATAATATTTTTCCTAGTATTCATAAATGAATACAAATTTCTCTCCTACTATAAGAGATAAAGTGCCAGCTCTTCTCCCTCGGCTTCCCCGGTGCACCCCAATAAGATGATGTCTTTCTAAAGATTCAGCCCTTGTCCTTCTCCCTCCTCACACCCAGAGGAGTGAGTAGATGGTCTAGACCAAACCTCTCTTCCCCCAGCCCTGCTGGCTGGGAGCACAACCCTGGTGGTTCAGACCAGATGTGGTAGACTCGCCCTTGCTGTCAGTCATTTCCAGAGGGTCTACCATGGTCATTGAGATTTAACCATATACGTAAATTTGGCCAGATTTTTTTGCTCATCGCTGTTTCCTCTCCTTGTTATCTGCTCCTGTCTGAGGTCTGTGTTCCTATTTACTTGCTCTGCGGTTAGCATTCTTCCTCCACTATTTTCTATAGATGAGTATGTTAGTGATATGATTTCTGAAGTCTTCCAAAGCCGCAGATATCTTTCTCCAATCCTCAGGGGACTGACATCCTGCGACCCCATGTTCGAGACTGATGACATTCTATTTCCTCCATCTTTTTTTTTTTTTTTAAAGATTTTATTTATTTTTTTGACAGAGAGAGACACAGTCAGAGAGGGAACACAAGCAGGGGGAGTGGGAGAGGGAGAAGCAGGCCTCCCGCGGAGCAAGGAGCCTGATGCGGGACTCGATCCCAGGACCCCGGGATCATGACCCGAGCCGAAGGCAGACGCCCAACCGACTGAGCCACTCAGGCGCCCCTATTTCCTCCATCTTATGTATGATGAACCTGAGGCTCAAAGAAAATAGGTAACTTGTTCAAGGTCATGCAGCCAGTACGAAGTGGATGACTAGCCATGGGGGGTTTCAGACTGATTAACAATCAAAAGCACAAGATAAAGCAGGGCTGAACCCAATGTCATGTTTATAAAATGATGTAGGGCTGGACAGAGCTGGCAGAGCATATCCTTCCTCCTTGGGAGTGCTGCCGGGGCCCTGGTGCAAATGCCAGGCTCAGTCGCAGCAAGGGGTGGGGATGTCACAGAGGAGCTAATATGTATCTGCAATCGACTTTGTCCCTGGCTAGTTATGCTAGCTCTCCCTGGACGTATCACTCATTCCCACTGATTATGAATCATATAATAACCTCCACACCCTGAGTAGGTTTCTCACGATGTTCTCCTTAAATTATGCCGAAACTGGTAAACTCAGAAGATTCATGTGTCATTTGTTCAGACCATCGGGTGGCTAAGAAGTCACTCCAAGGTCAACTCTCAGGGGTCCTTGGCTCCTGTATAGGAAGTGGGTCAGCTAGGGTGAGGAAAGGCTGTTCAACCATTCTGTTCAACCTTTCTTCAGGGGCAAATCCAGGCTCCGAGATGAGATCTCCTGGCTCCTAGCCCAGAACACCCAGTACAACCCCACCAGCACTTTAAAAGAGAAGATGCTGAGAGAGACAAGAGCAGAGTCTCTGAACTGTAACTGAGTTCCTGGAGGGATCTGTGTATGTGACATTTACCTGTCCTTCCTGTGGGATAGGGCCTGAAAAGTGGGAGAGAAGAGGAAGAGGCTGCAGCTAAGTGGGCCAGAGGAAAGGGTTGGGTGCTCCTGGCCCTGAGGATTGCAAGAATGGAGGAGACAAAGGAGGCACGAACAAGCTGTCCCCATATTCCATGTTCTCCCACCTCAGCCCAGGGCTTTCCCCTCCACCTCCTGCCCTTTGGTTCTGTTGCTTTCCTCCCACTATGGGACTCCCCCTTGCCCGTCTACAAGCTAGATACTGATGTGAGGAGGCAAAACTAAGCCAATGGAAAATGATCCTATTTATTACAGAGTGAGATACTGTATATGAACAATAAAGCAGGATAGGGAGACAGAAGACATACGGGGGTGGGGGGCATATTCAATAGGAAGTGGTCAGGGAAGGCCACCCTGAAAACCTGGTGTTGTTCTGAAGAAAGAAGGAAGAGAGCCAGGCACAGATCCAGGTGAAAGCTTCCAGACTGAGGAAGCTCTGCAGGAAGTGCCCGAGATGGTCCATTGGGGTGAAAGAAGAAACTATTTGAACCTCCATTTATATTTTTATCTAAACATGAAAAGTTACATGCGCCTAACATTTACTATGTTATTAAAATATATAATGTAAATAAGTATACATGGGGTGAGTGCTCAACTTGCTACCAATTATACCAGTGAGAAATTAAAAGTTCAGAGATTACTACAGCACAGCCTAAGGCAATAATCTGAAAGGCCAGAGTAAATTTTTTCCATCATATTACCTGGAAGAAAACAGGTATCTATATTCTGTGTCTATCTTTTTGATCTCCTGTGTACATCTTTTTCTCCTTTACTTTACAGCAGAGTCCCCTATTCTTCTGTATTTTCAATACCAACTAGACCCATGCCTTGCAGATGAGTCCCGAATAAAGGAATAGATGACTGGACAGACAGAAGGATGCATCAGTGTACAGACCTGTTTCACCGAACCCGCATGCACTGAAATGCTACAAAGGCAGCCTTGGCACAATAAAGGACTTTGGCTTTGGCATCTGACAGGAGTGAAAATCCTTTCAAGTTCCACCCACAGGCGACTTACTTCCCTTGTTTCCTAATCTGTGAAATAGGAAATGAATTAAGCAGAAAGAGGAAATGAGGCAATGCTCTGGACAATTTCAAATTACAATGCCTGATGTTTAGTGGACACTTCCCACTCTGCTCTCCTGACCCCCAGGCCCACGCACTCCGCTCCCCACTGTCAGCACCCAGAAATACTTAGCTGCTAAGGCAATGACAGGTGCCACGCTGGCTTTGCCCCCTCGAAGCCTTTCACAAAACCGCCAAGGACCCAGAGTGATGAACCCAGAGACCAGCGAAGTGGGCCTTAGTTAACTGAGACCAAGGCAGCTAGAAAAAGAGGGTTGAGCCAGCCTGAGCTAAAGCAACCTTGACAGAAGCAGGTCCTTTCAGGGAGTACCTGACGCGGCATAGGCCACTGTCCCCTCTCCATCCGGTGCCACAGTGCAGCCCCCTAAAGGGGTGGGAAGCTCTTGGGCGACAGAGAATGAAGGAGTGGGCAAACCAACACCAAGCTGCCTTTGGCGACAATGAGTGTCAAACCTCACCCGCTTCCCCGCCTCCTTTTCCCTCCCCTTTCCATCAGGCTCGTTCTCTGGCGCCCTCTGCAGGCCATGCTCGGAACTCCAGCTGTGGTGGAGAACCTTTACCCACAGTGAGTATCCATCCACTGGTGTTGGGAACTGGGCTCTGTTCTTGGGGTCTCTGTTCCCTGCCTGGGCAATCCTGCAAGGGGACTGCCCGTGCTGACCACATCCCCAGGAGCTGCCTGTACGAGAGCCCGCGGGCGAACAGAGAGGGTCACACTGGGAAAAGTGAGGGCTGTGGGGAGCGGGACTGGAGGGGAGCAGGGGGCAGAAAGTGCTGGGATGGGCTTGGGTCCTGGAAGCTTATTGGAAGAAAACGGAGAAGCAATGGAAGGGGGCTAAGGACACCGTGCCTGGCTGCTTAATCCTGGCTTTGCTAATAGCTGTTTGTCTTTAGGTCAGTTGCTTGATGTCTCTCTATGGCCACAATTTCCTTTAAAATGGGGATAAGGGTAGCTGCCTCCTATGCTTGTTAGAGGATAAAACTAGTTAATATTTGTGGGCGCCTGGGTGGCTCAGTTGGTTAAGCGACTGCCTTCGGGGTCCTGGGATCGAGCCCCGCATCGGTCCCCCTGCTCCGCGGAGAGCCTGCTTCTCCCTCTCCCTCTCCCACTCCCCCTGCTTGTGTTCCTGCTCTCACTCTCTCTCTCTGTCAAATAAATAAAATCTTAAAAAAAAAAAAAAAAAAAAAAAGAGGGCGCCTGGGTGGCTCAGTTGGTTAAGCGACTGCCTTCGGCTCAGGTCATGATCCTGGTGTCCCGGGATCGAGTCCCGCATCGGACTCCCTGCTCAGCAGGGGGTCTGCTTCTCCCTCTGACCCTCCCCCCTCTCTTGTGCTTGCTCTCTCTCATTCTCTCTCAAATAAATAAATAACATCTTAAAAAAAATATGTGTGTAAGCTAGTTAATATTTGTAAATACTTGGAGTACATTTTGGTCACTGAAATTACCAGTTGGCCTTAGAGATGGCCACCAACAGCATTGGCATCACCTCTTGAGAAATGCAAGTCACCGGGCCATACTCCAGCCTTAGCGAGTCCGCATCTCCACAGAGGGAGCTCAGAAATCTGTTTTGACAAGCTGACCAGAGGATTCTGATGCATCATAAACGTTGTGAAGCCCTGGTCTGAGTTTCCGCGGTTTTTAAAGCTACCCAAGTGGTAAGTTGGAACAGGAATGGAAGGAGAATCAGAAAGGGGCAGACGGGTTTAAGTAACAAGTAGGGAATCAAGACCCGCAAGAGGGGAGTGAACTTGCCCAAGGTCTCCCTGCAAGAAGCTATGACACTCTAAGGTTAAACTCCTCCAGTGCACCACAGCCCCCAACTAGTCCCATGGTCTTAGGCAAGCCGTCCTGTTTCCTAATCTGTGAAATGGGAGCAAAAGCCAACCTAACTCCAGGGGTGACTGCGAAGATCCCATGAGACCCAAATATGTCAACTACAAAACACCGGCCCGCTGGGAATAGGGGCTGAACTACAGTGATCAAGCAACCCCAGGCCCCGGAGCCTGAGATGCCTGCAAGGCCCTGGGCCCTCGCCGGGCGGATTTCCCTCTAAGAGGTCCTTGATAAAATAAGACTCCTCCGGCAAATCAGGGGGGCGGGGGGGCGGAAGATTTAGGGAGAAGTTCGGATCTCTGGGCTTCTTGCTTTGGCCTAAGTGTGTGCATTAGCCTCTCGGTGAGGCTGGTTCGTTTGATGGGGGGGCCAAGTCCCACTAGACAGACCACAGGAGCGCTGCTGCCCGCTTTGGGCCCTTTAGACCGCTGGAAGCCCGTGCTGCGCCCGGCCAACACCCGAAGACTCCGGCCGGGCCTCTGCCCAATTCAGGCCGGCCCTCCAGCGGCCGCTGGGTCCCACCCGGGACGCGCCTCGCGCCACCGCCCACCCCGCAGGCCGAACCATATAGCCCGGCGGCCCCGGACGCAGGCCCGGAGCGCCCGTCCCGCCTACGCGCTGCGGACTCGGCCCCGCGAGAGCGGGAATCGCAGGCTCCTCCCACTCCCGCTCGCGCTCGCTCGGCTGCCCGCCCGACCGCAGCCCCACAGCCCCGGAGAGCGGGCGAGAGTGCGCGGCCGGTCCCGGAACGAGATGCCCGCCCAGGGCCAGCGGGGGGAGTGCGTGCGCGGAGACCGAGCCGCAGCGTCAGGCGGCTCCCGCGCGCGGGCTCCTGCCCCGAAATCCAGCCCTTGCGCCCTCCAGCTCCCCGGATGGGGTCCGCGCCCAGCCTCTCCCGCCCGCCGCCCCGGTGCCGGGAGCGGCCAATGGCTTCCTGAAGCGGCTGTGTTCCCGGCCAATGAGGGCGGACACCGCCCTCTCGCCTCCTGTTGGCAGGACCTAGAGCCCGGGAGAGCTCACTTCCACTTTCCCCGAGGGAAGAGAGCCCGCGGGGAGCCGTCCGTGCCCCGTCTTCTCAGCTCTTGCGACTCCCGAGGCAGCGGTCACCGGCCCCGTGGACACGCTCCGCGTCTGTGAGTGGTGCTCTGGTCCTCAGTGGGACGTGGAGCTCTTAGGGGTGGTTGTCAAGAGCACTAGGCAAAACCTTGGTCCTGAGCCAAGAAGTTTTGGGGGTAAGGGATAAGCAAGAAGTTTGGGGTTAAGGGATAAGCAGCCTCCCATTGTAGGAACCTCCTTCCCGCCCCCCACCCTCAAGGATCGAGACTTTTCCTCCTAGAAAGACACCTGGAGATCAGCTAGGAAGCTGTTTCAGCTACCCTGTTGTGTGCCTGGGCATCAGGAGAGGGGGATGGGGGGGATGTGGAGGCGGGAACGTTCTGGGCTGGGGGCGGGGCGGTGGGGCACGGATCAAATATCATAACTGCAGCCCAGAGTCACTGAATCATGATCTTTGAGGGTGGGATCCGGTATATCTTCCTTTTTAACAAGCCCAGAGGGGGTAATTCACAGGAACAGTAAAAGGTTGATCTACACCAAACATCTTCATTTACAAATCAGGAACCCCAGATCCCTGGGAGGGGTGTAGGGAGAGGGTTTGACGTTTCGGGGTGGTTCTTTCTTGGCCTTAGGTACTTTCTTCCATTGCTGCTCTGCTCAGTTCTCCCCGGAATACCTGAGAGGAACCCTCTTCGTGTATCCCAAGTTCTCGGTGTGGGGAGGGCATTCCCTTCTGTGTCCTGTCACCTCTGCCACCTCCCTCTCTCTGACTCTTCAACTCAGGGATTCCAGCTGGCTGTACTGCCCCCCTCGCAGCCTGGCCTGGGATCTCTCACGCGGGCAGCTGCAGTAATCACAGGGGGTGCCCTATTTGTACTGTCCTTAACTGCATGATGGCCAGCCAGTTCCTTGTAAATCATTGTTACCTATCTTTTGCCCATTTTGTCTTGTTTTGTTTTCAGTGTGGAGGCTAAATCTGGTCCCTGTTACATTTGGCCAGAGTTTCAAGGTAATAACTATTTCCGTGTTCTTTGCTACTAGTTCTGTGAACGGTGTCCCTTCTGGATCTGTTTCTGTTCCTCAGTTTCTTTCTTCATTAGAGGTCCTATTTTCCTCTGCTGTTCATGCCTGGTGATTTTGTATTGGACATCCAGCTTTGTTAATTCCACATTTTGGGGTGCCAGAAATGTTTCAATTCTCATTGATCGTCTTAAGCTTTGCTGTAGTGCCCAGTCATGTGACTTGCAAACAGTTTGATCCTGGCAAATGTTGCCATTCAACTTCCTCAGGTGGGACCAGGGCAGCCTTCAGTCTGGGGCTGCTTTTATCCCACTACGGAGACAGTACCTTCCTGAATACTCGACCTGATACCTCATGCATGGTGAAGTTTTCTAGTTTGGCTTTTGGGAGCAGAAACTATTCTCAGGCCTGAGTGAGCCTCAGAACTGTTCCACTTTTTCCTTTAAGTGGCTCTTCCCCTGGCTTCCGGTAGCTTCCTCACATGCATGGACTGACCGATACTCGGCTGGGATTTCAGGGGGTACCCACTGCAGATCTCCGATCCTGTGTGTGGCTGTAGCTTTCTTCTCTCTAGTAGTCTGCCCTACAAACTCCAGCCACTTCGGCCTCCCATGACCCTGAGCTTGTCTTCTCAACCCAAGGAAACTGCCAGGCTCTGCTGTCTCCCTTCCCTGAGATATGGTCTGGAAACACTCCCCAGGCAGAAAGCTAGAGGTTCATGGGGATTACCTCATTTGATTTCTGTCTCTGAGAGGTAGGAGATCACTGTTCTGCACGGCCTGGGGCCCAGTGTTTGCAAGTTGTTTCATGTACCTTGTCTTTCCTTTGTTTTTAGTCATTGCAAGTGGGAGGGTAAATCCAACCTTGTTTCTCTGACTTGGCCACTAGCAGAAGCAAGTCATAGTTTCTTAGAAGTCATCATGAACTCCATGAAACCTGAAGAGAACAAGTCATTCACTGCTACAGAAAATGGCCGGGGTACCAGACCTGAAGAGTCACAGGTATGTCTCCTTTTTATACACCTTTTTTTTTTTTTTTTAAAGATTTTATTTATTTATTTGAGAGAGAGAGAATGAGAGACAGAAAGCACGAGAGGGAAGAGGGCAGAGGGAGAAGCAGACCCCCTGCTGAGCAGGGAGCCCGATGCGGGACTCGATCCCGGGACTCCAGGATCATGACCTGAGCCGAAGGCAGTCGCTTAACCAACTGAGCCACCCAGGCGCCCAGGTATGTCTCCTTTTTAACAACTCTTGGCTAGAGCAGCATACTCTAACCATAGTACGGTATTAGGATCCTGGAAGGGGATAAGCTCATAAAGAATGGCGGTTATAAACCCTTCCTCTGTGTTGTGGAAATTTTATATTTGGGAGATCACATCTATAAGTGCCTGTCAAAACCAAATGATAGTGTATGAATTAGCAGTGCAAAGTGCCTTATTAGACAACAAGATCACTAACAAACACTGTAGATGCTTGATATCAGAAGGACAGACAGGCCAAAATAATTAAGCAGTTACTGCTTACCGAG